TATCACTGGGTTCCAATTTGTGATTCTTCTGCTCAGCCTCCCCGAGTGCTGAGATTACAGGCCTACACTACCAGGCTTTAACAATCATTTTCTAAAACATGTTTTAAATAATATTACTATGTAGGTTAAGAAAAATTTAAAGCTCTTCAATGGGTAAGTTATTAACACTTTGAGGGTAGGATTCTTGCTATTTTTATTTTTTATTATTATTATTACTATTTTTTTGTCTTTTCTATGACAATGTGACAGGGTCTCGCTATACAGTTCAGGTTGGCCTTGAGCTCACTTTGTAGCCCAGGGTGGTATTGAACTGGCAACGTTGTCCTGCCTCAGCCTCCTGAGTGCTGAGATTATAGGCGTGTGCCACGATGCTGGCTTCTTTCCATTTTTTATTCTGTAGTCTGTTATAGATAATTACAGCCAATCAGACTTTGCCCTCTATTATTACTTAGTTTTAGTGTCTGTAATAAATGGTAGACAGGGTTGTGTATAAGCTAGCATGGCTCCTTCTCTTCTACCCTTCTGCTTAGGACATAATATTTTTCACACTGGCTAGTGATGGACTTTTTGTAAAACCACCACCACAAAATAAGCCTCTTTATGAATAGTCTTCATTATATTAAGATACTATAAACAAGACTGTAACCCAGGTGTTTCAGGGAATGATGGATGATGGCTTCATCTGAAGAGTTTGGTGTTTCTTTTAATCATTTGAGATCGTTATGTCTTTGTAGAAACAAATTGAAAAGGTAGAATCAGACTAGATCAAAGGATATAGTTTATGTTAGTGGCTTCTGTTACTAAAGTTGTTCCAACTCTTTGAGGTTCTAGTGTAAATGTCTGAACAGTGCATAAAGTGCTAGTATTTCTCATGCCCTTAGGGTATAAGAGGCACTCACATATTTGTGAAATAAGAAAAATATGCATGTAAATGGGATAGTTTCTATGTATTTATAGCACAATCTAGGATCAAAACTGTACATTCTAGGCCACATTGCTTATATTGCACATATTCGCTTTGGTGATATTTTCCTCCTCCCTAATTAGTAACATCTTAAAAGTTTGACCAAGGAAAATCAAGGGAAATTGTATTTTTTTGTTTGTTTTTGGTGATGGCTGAGAGAATTCCAGTAGCAAGGTGAAACTTAGCATCAACTTTAGTTATTAGCTTGGCATTTTATTTATTTATTTATTTTGTCTTTTTGAGACGGGGTCCACTTGAACTCACTTTGTAGCACAGGCTGACCTCAAACTTGCAGCGATCCTCCTGCCTCAACCTCCTGAGTGCTGGGATTACAGGCATGCACCGCCATGCCCCGCTTAGTTTGGCATTTTAATTTCTTTTTTTTTTGAGACAGGGTTTCGCTATGTAGTTCAGGTTAGCTTTGAACTCACTGTGTAACCCAGGCTGGCCTCAAACTCACAGTGATCCTCCTGCCTCAGCCTCCTGCGTGTTGGGATTACAGGTGTGCACCACCATGCCTGGCAGTTTGGCATTTTTAAACCTTGGGCTATATAAAAATGCCTTCTTCCTCCCCCATCTCTGTCACTGTCTCTGTCTCTCTTTGTGTCGGTGGCACTGGGAATTGAATTCAAGGCCTTTGCACTGAGCTACATCTCTACACCTTTTTTGAGACAGGCTCTCATTAAGTTGGCTTCAAAAGTTGATTGTCCTGCCTGAGTGTTGCAGAAAACTGGGATTACAGGTGTGTGGCCACAACGGCTGGCTAAAAATGCCTTTTAAAGGAAAAAAGTTCTGCTGGGCGTGGTAGTGCACGCCTGTAATCCCAGCACTCAGGAGGCTGAGGCAGGAGGATCCTTGGGAGTTCGAGACCAGCCTGTGCTACAAAGTGAGCTCAAGGCCAGCCTGAGCTGCATATTGAGACCCTGTCTCAAAAAGACAAAAAAAAAAGTAAGTTCTTTACATCCAAAGACTATGTGGTCAGGATACTGTAGCACAGGGGCAGAGCACTTTCTTGCTATATGTATGTATGAGGCCCTGCGTTTAAGCACCAGTACTACAAAAATAATATAAAGCAACAAAACAAAACATTGCAACTAAGGAAGTCAGTTTGAGAAACACTGGATTAACATTAAAAATAGAAGGTAACCACATAAGGGATTACTTGAAAAAGTATAAGAAAAATGGCAACCCAAAACTAGATCACTGAAATGAGTGTGGCACTATTATTCCTAAGATTATCATATAAAAACAGTAAGAATTCTTACAGGGCTTTCAGATTCATCATAATACATTCGTCATAATACATCTCCCGACTTTGTAGGTTAAGCAGATTTCATTTTGAAAAACTATAAGCAGTGTACCTCTACCACCAGATCTACTGCTGTCTTCATACTCTGTGTGTGTAAGGGAGTTTTTAAGTGTCTAGCATTCATTATGTTTGCCTGGAATAGGGAAAAAGTATTAAAATACAATTTTCATTCCCTTTATTCCATCCAAATTGTCCTCATAGATTTCCCAGTTAGAAAGGTCATTTGGCTTGTCTCTCTTGGGATGCATGGCTGTTTGCCAGCCATTTACATGTTAGGAACAGATATTTTAATGCTAAACACAAACTTTATTTTTCCTTCAGAACATGGGAATTTTATGAGGAAAGCTTAGACCTTTGAGAAGGCAGCTTTCTTGGATGAATGGGAAATTATGATAGGGCAGTTTGTAGAAAAGAGGTGGTTGCAGTCAGAGAAAAAGAGGAAATTGTTAATGAAACTTATTTTTCAGTTTTGCCTAGGATCTTGAATTCTCTTGCTGATGGTGCCTGAGTCAGGGCTTTCAAAAGATTTGAGAAGTCTGTAAACTTTACTTTTTCTGGTCCAGCATAACTTCTGTCCATGTTGTCGCATCTCCTCAGGAGCAAAAGAGAAAGAGGACCTTTCCTAAATGGAAAGCCGGCCGATCAGCCCTGTCGGATAAACCTCATTCTCCTTCACCAGTGGTTTGTATTGTCACTTACCACGGAGTAAGTTAGTTCTCAGTACAGTATTCGCTAATTTTAAGAGAGTGAAAGCTTTGAATGTGGACCAGTTTCTGCTCTCCCCTCCCGTACTTTTTTTTTTTTGTTGTTGCCTCTTTTCTCTCACACTTTAAACACCTCTTCCTTTTTACTGGCATAGAAGGAACAGCCAAGGGGAAGAGAAGTTTTGATGTTCGGTTGAGCGAAATAATGTCCGTTGGTTAGATCGGCAACTGCCCGACACATAGTTGGTAATATATTCTTTGCACTCCACAGTTTAAATGTCTTGAAAAAACCAAAACTTAATATAGAAGATCAAAGCATTAAAGCTTGTAGCCTACTCTCGCACACATTTTTTGCTTCCTTGATTTGCAGTTTAGCAAAAGACATCGTTCATCTATTTTTTTTTTCATCTTTTTAACACATTTAGTGGCAACTCTTCTTCCAACTCCTCCCTGAAGCTGTCGGTCTTCTCCCAATTGTCCTAGTGTGCTTAGGTCGTGCTTGCTGCATACTCGACCACTTTTCTCTCTAGGAGTCCGTGTTGAGGTGTCCAATGCACTGGCATTTTCCAAGCCCGCAGCACTTTGGGGAGGCAGTTCTAGAATTCAGTTGACGGCCTTCCCAAGCCGAGGGTCTGCGGAGGCAGGTGGGTGGGGCTGGGTGCTGCCGGGGCGGGGCCGATGAGCCGGAGGGAAAAGGTGGAAGGCATTTTGGAGAAAGGCCCGGCGGGCGGTGGGTTCAGTTTTCACGATGGCTTCGAGTATGAGGCTGAGAATATTGGTTACCGCTCTTCTGCCTCGACTTTCTTGTTTCTAGAAGCTTCAGCAGACTTTTCTGGGCTGCTAGGACACGGCAAGGCGGCGGCTTCAGCTCTGGGGGCGGGTCCCAAGGGTCTTGCCGCTGCTCTAGGGCCGTTTAGTCTCCTGCTGTTGGGGGAGGGGACGGGAGGTGCTGCTGGCGCCTCCCTTTGCGCCTGCGTGACAAGCTCTTAGCGGGTAGGAGCGCGTGCGTGGTGACGTGGACGTCCGGTGCGCGCGCAGGCTCTTCAGCTGGAGCGGACACACGGTGTGCGAACCGAACAGAATAGCCCGCCCCCAGCGGGATGTGAAGGACTCCGGGTGAGGCCAGCCACGCCCCGCACGGTAACTCTCTGGTCTGGGTGGAAGGCGTCGCTTTAGTACTGGCCCAATTGGAGTTTTTGGAGAGTTTGAAGCGCTTGTGTATTTGGACGTCTGAGCAGCGTTCGCTGAGAGATCTTCGCACGCCCGGGCCAGGCCGGGCCTTGCGCGGGGCCGTCTTTGGCGCGCGCCTGTGGTTTCCTTGAGCGAGGCTGCGCATGTCACCTCGCGCACGGCCTCGGCCTCACTTCCGCGTCGCACTGCTTATTAGCAGGGAACATCGACGCCAGAGCCAGCCGCCACGAGGCGGGCGGGGTGAGAAATGCTCATGGTGCGGCCCTGCCCTCGCGTGCGTGGGCCTCTGCGCCTCGTGGCACGGTGCTCGTGATGATTTCCAGTCCCCCGCCGGGTCTAGGTCGAGAGCTGTGTGCATTTCGAGTTTTGCGGTTTAGGGCTCAGGTGTCGGGGTTTCAAAACTCCGAGGGAAACGGCACGGACGTCGATTTTCTAGGAAGCTGGGCGAAGTGTTTTGACACCTGTACGAATGTATTTTTTAAGCTTGTAATTCCTTAGTCAAATTGAAGCACGACCGCCAGTTTGAGGAGAGCGAGGAAGTGCGTTGCACAGGAGTGGGAACTTTGTAAACAAAGGACCTGTGATCCTTAAGTGCAGAAATGAGGGCGGGGGAGCAGGTGGGTAGAGCAGGTGGTATTTTTTTTCTTTGCCTTTTGGGGCAGCCATGGGTTAGTTTTCCGCCCTTGTGGCTTCCCGTTTCTGTGAATTGTGAAGATCTTTGCTCTCAGGAAGGCGAGTCTGGGACGTAAGTTTCTCTCAAGCGTCAGTAACCAAAGTTGAGGAATCTGCCGCGAAGAGTGTGTGGAGAAGTTAAGATTATTTCGGACTGAGGCGAGAGAGGGAGGTACTGTAGTTAAGCGTATTTCGCTGTAAAGATTTTTGCCTTTCTTTTGGAACCCTGGGGATGAATGCCTGCTTCCTCTGGCAGGGGTGGAAATAGGGAGCGGTAAAGGATGTCTGGAAGGAGGGGTTACTGATGAAACCCCGGGAGAAACCAGAGTACAATCTTTGAGGGAAGACCACTCTTCTCAGGGTCGCAGAAGTAGACGCGTGCGTGGATCCTGAAGTCGCAAGCCCACGCGCGCGCTGCTTGTGTTGGTAGGGTTTGCCATGCTTTTACGGCGGAGTCCCTGTTAAACTCTGCCTGCTCTGCTCCTTGTTTTTTTTCCGCGACGCCGTGTTCAGGCTGTAGGGATGGTTCGGGGAGGCGTGATGGCTGCTGAGAACCGGGCTCAGCTGGGTGGCTAGATGTGTAGTCTCCACGGAAACAGAATGCGGCTGGGTCCGGCGGTGTGATCACAGGGTTCCGGCGGGAGGCACGTGATCTGCCCCGTCTCTTCCCCGGAAGAGCTTTCCTTGTGGCATCTTTTCACGTGGTACTTGGCCAGCTAGCCTCTGCAGTTGAAAAGCGACAATTGGTAGTCGAGGGCGACTGCTTCTTCTGGCCCTTTCACTTCCAAAGGGTAATGCATCAATGCTAGACTAGTTGGATGAGTAGAGTGGTTTGGTCCACTTAACAGAAGCACAAACTAAGGACTTCAGAAAGTGTGCCCTGGATACAGGGACAAATTTAGTTTGACTCTGCTGTTTGTTTCTAACTAGAAATTAGTTCTTCAGATTTTACTTGACAGTTTTCTAGTGCGAAATTCTAGTTCAGAGTTTATTTCTAGGGCTATAAAGTAACTCCTGCATCCCCCAGTAACTCATGGTATTTGGGTAGCTTTGGTTAAGAAGTTTGGGCCCTAAAACCTAAAATGTTTCAGGTATTTTGAAACAATTCGCCCTATAAGTTTGGGGCAATAAAACGGTCTGAATTAATTTGCAAGTGCCATTTTTTAATTAATTATATTTCTCATGGGTAAGAGTGGTTAATAATATGGTTGGCTAGTTTACTGTCTTTGCCCCACTGTTTGCTGTCAGATTTTTTTGTTTGTCGTTTTGAGACAGGGTTTCACTGTGAGTTCAGGCTGGTCTCGCACTTACTTTGTAGCCCAGGCTGGCCCGGAACTCGCAGTGATTCTCCTGCGTCAGCCTCCGGAGTGCTGGGATTACAGCTGTGTGCCACTGCCCGGCCTGCCGTCAGATTTTGATTATATTTTCTCAATCTGTTCTTTAAAAATTAAAATTTATGGACCCAGTGTATATTGGTAAATTCTGCATTTCAAGTAAATTCGTTTTCTTAAAATTTGAGTTTCCGAAACATGATTGAGCATTATGATTTCTAGTAGTAAAGATAATGTTAAGGGACAAACATTTTAGTGCCTGCTACACAGTCATGCATTTATGATACGAAAGGTTGTAGCATAACTTTGGAAACATTCACAGTGTGTTGACCATCACTTGAATATTTGGGTTTTAAAGTAATGGTATTGGTTGGGAATTTTGATTTGGTGTAGTTAAAAAGTTTTTTTTAGAACAATATGGAAGTCATTGAGTTAGGCACTACCTAGTGAACAGTGGAACCTCTTCCTTAGTGGTTCCAGGAGTCTCAAAAATTGAGTACCAAGTTGTTTTGACCCTAAAGGGTACTTGTTTGTGTAGAGTACCAACAAAGGAGTACTGGGATAGAACTTTCATGCCAAAGGGGTCCAGTATCAAATTCAACTAGTTTCACAACAGTTGAGTACCAGCGTATGATTGTAGTGCATCTTGTGGGTTTTGTGAGGCTGATCACTTTGGTAGTTAAAAGATTTCCCAAATTGGTCACTATGGAGGAAAACATTTAGAATAAGAACCCTGAAACTGTTAACAATTTATGGAACTTGGCTGGGGATGTAGCTTAGTGGCACAGTGCCTGCCTGGTAAGTGTGAGGTCCTGCGTTCGATTCCTGGTACAAAAAAAAAAATTATGGAACTTGTCACATGAAAACATTGTCTGTGGAAAGATTGTGTGTATGTATTCTGATACAACATTCATGATATTACTGAATTGTTCCTTCCATGACTAAGCCTGCTTACTTGGTTCTTTATAATAGGAATTTTTTTGTAAATAAATGCTTGATGTTGAAAAGCTGAACTTGATTTTTTCAAAAATGTTAAGGGATACTCCCCAGCTCTGGTCTTTATTAAAAATTTTAGAGCCAAGTTATTTTTAGAATCTTGCTGTAGGGAGACAGATTTTTCTTGAGTAGTTTGTCACTTCCTAAAGTACATTTGATTTTTGCAATTGGCTTACAGTTACCTTACATTGGTCCCTTTGTGAAACAACTGAATATCTTGACTTTGACTACTCTTTGATTAGAAAATCCAATATAGGACTGGGAATGTAAGTCAGTGGCATGCCTGTCTGGCAAGAATGAGGCCCTGAGTTCAACTCCCAGCACCAAAAAAAAAAAAAAGAAAAAAGAAAGAAAAAAAGAAAATCCAATGTAGTAACCCCCCCAAATAGGCATATACTTCAAGAAAGTGTCACATTTTCTTGGTTTTTTTTTTTTTTTTTCTCTTTGTTTTTTTTCCCCGGGACCAGCAATCAAACTCACAACCTTGGGCTTGCCAGGCAGGCGCTGTGCCACTGAGCTGAATCCCCAGCATAGGCACATAGTTATGGTGAATGGAATCTGTACTTAGATTGGTGTGGATTTAAAAACTAAATTCTGCCTGGCATGGTGGTGCATGCCTGTAATCCCAGCACTTGGAAGGCTGAGGCAGGAAAATCGTTACAAGTTTGAGACCAGCCTGCACTCTAAAGTGAGCTCAAGGCCAGCCTGACCTGCATAGCAAGACCTTGTCTCAAAAAAAGACAAAAAACAAAAACAAAACCCTCAACTCCTGTTCTTAATAACCATTACAATACAAGGTACATATTTTGGTCATAAATTAGGTCTTTTCATTTTACATTTTGATCAACTGATGGACTAAGTTGATTGGTTTAGTGTTTTTTTTTTGTTTTTGTTTCAAGAAGGTCTTGCTGTGTAGTTCGGGCTGGCCTTGAACTTGCAGTGCTCTTCTTGTCTCAGCCTCCCAAGTGCTGGGATAACAGGTGTGTGCCACCGTACCCAGCATGGTTTAGTATTTATTTATTTATTTGGTTTAGTGTTTTTTAAAAAGACTTTATAGAAATCCTAAACTTGAAAGTTCTAACTTTTCCTGTCTTCCATGTGTATCTTTACATTTTTTATTCCATACCTGTGATAAGGTTGAAATAGGGCAATCTGACTTTTCTGCACTTAATTCTGTTGTTTAGGAAAAAGGAAAAATTAGATGAGTATGTACACTACAAAATTTAGTTCAAGTGCTGTATATAATTTACTGCAAGTTGAATCTTTGGCATTTTATAGATTAACATTTAAAAGATTTTTTTTTTTGGGGGGGGGTCTTTTTGAGCTAGGGTCTCACTATGCAGTTCAGGCTAGCCTTGAGCTCACTTTGTAGCCCAGGCTGGCCTTGAACTCTGAACAATCCTCCTGCCTCAGCCTCCTGAGTGCTGGGATTACAGGTGTGTGCCATCATGCCCTTGGCTAAAAGTGTCAGTTAAAATGTTTTTGTCCTGATTTTACCAGTAATGATCTAAAAACCAAGCTTTTGATATTATAAAAAATAATGTTTAAGAAATCCTGAACCTTTTTGTATATTTTAAAGATTTGGGATAGTTACAACTTTTTTCTTCTTTGATTTTAGTAATATTTAAATATACCTGACTCTTTAGCATACTTGCCCACTTTTTTTTTTTTTTGCCCACAAAAGTAGTTGATTTTTAACAAAATCTTGTACTTTATGGATAAATAAGTGTAAAGTTAGGAGTTTTTTTTTTTTTTTAATTTTAAAGAGTAAAAGAAGGATAACATAATAATAGGGGGGACTTAGCAAATTACAGACAAAATGGTAGGAAATTATCAATGGTTATCGTTTTACATATT